TGAAGGATAGCATTCATATCAATCCCTCTTTCACAAAGCCCAAACCAAACAAACTGGGTTACTGCTGATATGATGAATTTCGCCTTCTGTCAAAGAAGATTTGGGTTTGTTCTACTTAGGCATTTCATTGGTGGCCATTATTTTGTAGCCAAATCTGTACATTCTAGGCATTGTTGAGTACCTAGCCCTGTAAACTGAATACTTCCAGGCCTTCTTTCCATGTAAATTCTTAGTAATGTAACTGTCAGACTTAGTGATATTGTCAGCGGTGTATATAAATTCTTATATGCCAAGTCCCATACACATATGTGTATATTTATATATAAATATACAAATTAGTGACTGGATATGGTAATTTAAAGAATAAATATGGGCTGTATATGTGGCTCAGTGATATAGTGTTTGCTTAGCACACACAAGACACTGGGTTTGACTCCCAGTACCTAATAATCATCATCATAACAACTATTATTATTTTAAAAGTCAGATGGAATTGAACACATGTAGCCAAGATTGTTAATTAGCTAATGAGGCTCTCATTTCCTTTTCCCCAAGACTAAGAGCAATGTCAGCATCTAAGGTAACGAATAAATGCTTTAGGAAATCACAGCTATAAATACTTGCAGACCTGGGCTGAGGGACACAGGTCAGAGCAAGTGGCCTATTGAATGCCCAGAAATAATGTATATGCAAAGAAGATATTCATTTCTAGCAAATGTTTGCAGAATATTTATTATTTTCCAGACACCAAGAATACAAATTGTTAAAGTACAGGTCAGCCCTGAAAAAGTATAAAATCATGTTCAGACAGAGCTGGATTCAGGTCTTTCTTCTGTTCTTCAGTAGCTCTATAATCTAAAAATCCTTGAAACAGAAATTTTAAGTGGCACAAAAACAACCATGTTCATAAAATGCCACCAACACAGTGCCACAGAGATATTTGTTACATACTCAGTTATGAGCAAATATTTATTGAATGTTATATTTTAGACATTGTCCCAAGAATTAGGGTTACAACAGGAGACAAGTGTCTCTGATTTTATTAATGCTTTGTTAGAGTGAATTAATCAGGTCAAAGGACATGATTCTGCTCCTTTTTCATGCCAACAGATCTCATCCCCAAAAAAACTCTGGTTTCTAAAATTTCCATAAATAGATTGTATGACATTGAGACCTCTGACCATTATAGTTGGAGGAGATATGAAAAGACTACCTAAAAATCTAGTTTGCTCATCTTATTCTACATTGGCTGGTTTTGTCTCTGGATGTCAATATTGTATTCTACTGACACAGACATTTTGTGTAAGCAAGTTAGAACACTCAATCCTCATGGCTACATGGTGTGTTTGTGTGTGTGTGTGTGTGTGTGTGTGTGTGTGTGTGTGTGTTCTGAGGGGAGACAGACATAGTGGCAGGAAGGGGAAAGGAAGGGAGAGAGGGAGAAAGAATACTGCTAAAAGAATACTGATAAAGATGATGGAAAATTCCACATTTGTTTGAAAACACTTAACCTGGAGTTAATTACTCAAAACCGGTACATCTTCTATATCCATGCTTCTCTGATCTGCTTTTCCCTGATACCTTGTGGCAATAACTGAACACTATTTTTAAAGAACATTTTTAGATTTACAAAGAGTTGCTAAGACAGTACAGAAGGTCCATGCTTTATTGAAATCACCTCAGTGTGTCTTCATGCCATTTTCCTGTTTCCAGGTCCCATCCAGGTACCATATTGTATTTAGCCATCATGACTCCTTAGACAATCATTTTTGATTGTTGTGATCTCTCAAATTTCCTTAGATATTGGTGATTGGTTTAGAAATACTAGTCAGATTTTTTTGTGGAACACTCTCTAATTGGGATTTGTCTGAATTTTTTTTCAGGATTCCTTTGAGACTATGAATTCTCAGGGAGAAAATAGCAGAAACAAAGTTCTATATTCCTCACATCAAATCAAGGCAACATACAACCAATAGGAGTTATTACTATTGATTTTTGCTATGACCAGCTGGCTGAGCTAGCACAAATAGTAAATTCTTACTATTTATTTATTTGCATTAGCAAACCCTACCCCAAAACATTTATCAAGAAATCTCAAAATAACTTCTTAATTTCTCTAAAAAATTGCTTCTTTCTTAATTTTCAGTAGGAAAATATAATGACCATACATCATTGAATACCAGACATTGAATAGATAGGCATAAAGAAAACCTGTTGCTACTTTTAAGAATTCATGGCCTGTGTACTGCAAGAGAAACTTGTAAGATATGAATAATAAGCAAAGGGGCACTGTGTCAAGGATCAAAGGAACTTACGGAAAGCGATCCCTGCAGTCATGTTTGGGTGGGACTGGAAGAGAACTTCCTTTCTGTAGCAAAATCCTGGGGCTAGTTCTCAAAGGGTAACAGGATTCCTTCCGGCAGGTAAAGGAGGAAGGTGATCCAAAGCAGACCATGCGATGGGAAGGAAAATGGACTAGCGGGCAGAGAGCATGAGAGTCCAGCTGGTTGATAAACAGTTCGGCTGCTACTCTTTCAGGCTGCTAGAGTCACAGGCAAAGCCTGATTCAGGCCAACTCCACACCTGTAATCTCCAGAGGCATGGAGTCAGATTTAAGTTATTGGAGAGAGACAGGACAGAGGAGACAGGAGAGACCAGAGAAGAGAGAGGAGACAGACAGAGAAGAAAGAAGAGAGAAACAGGAGAGAGGAGTGAGGGAGGTAAGAGAAGAAAGGAGAAAGGAGAGAAACGGAGGACAGAGTAGAGAAAAGAGAGAGGAGACAAAGAGAGGGGCAGACAGGGAGGAAGAGTGAGCTAGAGAGTGAGTGAGAGAGAGAGAGAGACTCCCACTGCACATGCGCTCCCTGAGAGGTGCCAGTCCACACTGGTACAGTGCCAGGTGTGGATGGAGAGACACCAGCTATGGCTCAGGAAGGAAGCAGCCTATGTAGTGCTATCAGCAAAGATTTCAGTGGTTTGGCTATTCCTGCTTATCGGGGCCCTTGAGAACACAGTGTCAGCACCCAAAAGGAGCCAGAAGATTTTTGTATCACACGCCCATCACATGCTGTGGGACTTTCCTGATTTTGGAGGAAAGCTGCCTTTCCTCAGGAAAACCTCTACTCCTAAGAATCCCTGCTATGTAGCTTAAGAATCTGCCTCCAGAAACAAAACCCCTACATCTTTACATATGAAAACTTCCATAAAGAGTAGCAGGAACTTCTGGCCCACAGGAAGAGATAGTGGATGAAGTTTTTGCATTCTGTAAGAAGACTAAATACCCTTTACATTCTCTATGGTCTTCCTCACCCCAATATCTTTGTCTCTATGTTCTGGGATGTCTACAATAGAATATAAAATAAATCACTATAAAATACAATCTTCAAGCTCTCATGAAACCCTTTTAGGATCAAGATGCTGCTGTTGGCTCTCACCTCGTCTTTCATCCTCACCACTTTTGCATTTAATCCTCCCTCTTCCCTTAACAATAGAGCACCAAGTCAGCAATCACACGATGTTCTCTATGTTCTCTTTTGCTACCATACCTTGTACCTGTTGGTCTCTATGTTTGAATTCTTTTTCCTGAAGCACAATTGTTTTTAATTTTTTTTAAAGGAAAAACAAAACAAAACAAAGCGGTGTAAAGGTACAAGTAATACAAAACTACAAAAACAAACAAACAAACAAACAAAAAAAACAGTAAGAAATCACCAGTTAATAGATTACACATTATCATCTTAGAGATAGTTGCTCAAGTCACAGTATCAAAGCATACAAAGTGAACATTCAAACAGTGAGACTGCAAACAGTTGTGTTCAATGATCCATCCAAAAACATTAATATGGTCAGCTATTTAACACCCCTAAACACACTTGCTGTTGTATCCTTTAGAGCTCTTTTTTTTTCCCTCTCTTTTTTACAACACAATTTACACATTTTGGGTTTTATTACTCCTTAGTTCTTATTACTTTTTTTTGGAAGAGAATAAAGTCAAATATGGCAAAACAAAGCTGTCAGTCAAAACCAAGGATAGACATAGCACATGATGTAAAAACAGAGTACAAGGTTATCAACAATGGTTACCATAATGTCTCTTGCTGAAGCACATTTTTGAGGGTTGCTTTTTAACATGACATTGGATTTTATTTAATTTTAGAGAAAAAAGATAAAACAAAATTCCATGACAAGATAACAGGAGAACAACAACAGTTAATACATTACATGTAGTTATCTTTAAACTTGTTACTCAGAGTATAAAATATGGGCATAAAAATTGTTTCAAACTATATTAACACAAACCTTCATTTCCTGTGAACTAAGAAACACTAACTTGCAGTTTTCCTCTCCCTACCCCATCCTAGTTCCTTTTTCCTTTTAAACAGTTTTTTTTCCCATTTCACAATATCTACTACACATTTTAGACCTTATTTATTTTTTTTCTTTTCTCACACCAAGGAAAGAATATGATATTTACACATGTGAGTCTGATTTATTTCACCCAACAGTATGGTCTCAAGTTGCATCCATTTACCTGTAAAAGTCTCAAGTTTATCCTTCATTGTACAAAAATACCACATCTTTTTAATCCACTCCTTGGTTGGTGGTCATTTGGGTTATTTCCAAGATTTAGCTGTTACAAATCCATCTTCATCAGGGTAATTCCTGACTTACTACCATCCTTTAGAATTGAGCTGATTATCTTTCGTGTTATCCTTGCTACACCTTGAGGGCCCTTAGCCTTCCTCTACGATGGCTTACCTAATTGTGTTACAGGGCTTGTGTCTTTGACCTTGCCAACCGGGATTACATCCTATTTGGGGGGTTTGGGCCTTATGTTGAGTGCAACAGGTCAGCCAGCCTTTTGCTCTGCCATCCTTGATGCACAGCTTCTTTGTTCTTCAGCTTGTTACCCTACAATTGCAGATGAGTCATTATCCTTCAGTGAATCGCATCTCCATTTCAAGATCTCAAGCAGGAAGGAAGAAGACAGTAGAGGGAAGGAAGATAGCACTATTTTTTAATCAGAGAGAAAGAAAGGAGCTCCAAGTTTTATTTTTATGCCTCATTGGCCAAAATGAGTCACATGTCCATCCATTGCAAAAAAGAGGGCTACAAAAGCAAGTGAGGATAGTCACAATTGGTCCAATATGATGCATTCATTTCGAGGAGTCAATACATAGTTACCATAATGAGTAAGATTATGCTAGCCAAGGAAACTACAGCTTTTGACCAGTCAAGTAATAGTTTCACAACACGAACATAGAAAATACAATCTTGAATATTGTACCAACTAGGAAGCCACCTACAAAGAGAAAGAAAAACTGTATATGCAGGTGGTAAAATAGTTACTACTTATCAGTTGAGACTTAGTTAATGTTTTATTCCAGAATTATCTCCACGCATCAAGACATCTCTGAAAGTCTTTACCCATGCCTTTTGATTTATTATGTCTAGAGAAATAAATGAAGCTCTATTCCTGTACATAGCAAAGGTGATCCTAACTTCATAGATCCATTTACATGTAAAGTCTTACTTAATGTAATAAGACTTGGCAACTCTCTACACAGGCTAATAAGTTTGATTTGATTTATATTATATTAGTCACATTTCCATTGCTGGAAAAATACTCAAAATGAAAGGGAGAGAGGATTATTTGTGGCTCACGGTTTCAGATGTTCCAATCCATGGTCAACAGGCTCCAAGGAAGAAACTGGTGGAAAATAATGATGCAGAAAAACTCTTCAGTTTATGGCAGCAAAGAGGCAGAGGACAGCAGCAGTGCCAGAGAAGTGGGGACCAGGGACCAGATCTAGATCCACAAGGACCTCCATGACCCACATGTACATAACTTGGAAGGAAACCTACTCAACTTATGCATCCAAGATGGAGCAAACAGGAAAAGAACCAGAGAGGAAGGGACCAGGGACTAGACATGGCTAGCAAGATCACAACCTCATGATCTACTTTCTCTAGCAAAGCCCTGTAGCCCATTCATCTATGAAATCACCACTGAGTAAACCTACTGATGAGTTTAGTACCTTCAGAACCCAATCATTCCTTGAGGAATCTTTTAATCTAGTCAAGTTGGTGATCAAAATTAACTGGTGTTTGTGTTTAGAAGTTAGGGATAGTTTTCTAAAATAAACAGCTAGGTCTCCATAACTAATACATTAAATGGATCCATCAGCCACTTCTTTCAGATATTTTGTGAGTGACTTTCTTCTCTGAAGATATTCTACTCCAAATTACATGACAAAACATTTCCACTGAAATATATAAAGGATATGGTCAAATGTGTAGCTTGTAATTTAAGGTAAAATTATTTCACCTAACCTAAAATTAGCCTAGCCTTGTTAACTTGGAAGGTTAATTCACAAGGATTAAATAATGATGATATTGTAAGTTCTGGACATTCCATCAAATCAATGAGTACTACTGTCTCATTGCCCAGATAAGGTGACATTTGTCCTACACTACCTCCATTGTCACTGGCATTAATGTGTCTTCAATCAATGTATTCACAGACAAGAGAGACTTGGGGGCCCTAAGGTAATAATTTTCACAAGGTTGAAGATTGGAGTTAAAACTATAGTGTTCCAAAAAGTGAGGATTGCCACACTTGGGACTCTAGGATTTGTTATTTCTCAGAAGAAACTCAAATACCTGTCTCTTTGAATTTATGTCTTTCTTGCAAAGTAAAGTAGGATCAGGCTCTGGCCCTACTTAAAAATAAGTGCCCCTTCTACCCTGTATCCTCTTAGAAGCTATCTTAGTCCATTTTCTGTTGCTACAACAAAGCACCTAACACTGGGGAATTTTTAAAGAACACAGAAGCTCAAGAGCACACTCGTGAGGGCCCCATTCTGCTTCAATTCAGAGCAAAAATAAGAGTGAAAAGCAGACATATGTAAGTGGAAGGACAAGAGAAGATTCCATTTACAGCAACTCCCTATGAATCCACTCCTTCCAGGAAAGTCTTAACTCATTTCATCCTTCCTAATACCCTGATCATCTCTTTGAGTTGCTGCATTGGGAACAAATCGCCCAACATAAATTGTGTGAATTCCAAGGGACATGTTTACACTCCAAGTGGGACACAGAGGGACAGATAAGGGAGAAGGAAGCATCTTAGCCAACTGTTGGCCTCAGTAAGAGTTTAACCTTCTCTGCAAGGTCTGGATTACAGCCCCAAGGAAATACACAACTGAGATTAAAGATGTAGATATCTGTGTGACATGCTCCTGTTTTCCAAATGCGATCTGCTCACACATGGGTCTCCATGAAGGGTTTACTCAAGTAAGTGTGGTAAATGAAGGATTTCATTGGAAGTTTCCCAGACTATATAACTAACAAATATCTTAGTTACTTTTCTCTCATTGTTGAGACAAAACATCTGATATCCAAAGTTAAAAGGGGAAAGGTTTATTTAGCTAGCAGTTTGTAGAAATTTTAGTCCATAATCAGCTGGCTCCAAGGCAGGGTGGTATTGCAGGATCAACAGTTCATGGTTATGAAAAACATCAAAATCAACAAGTAAGGGGTAAGACAAGACTCTTTGTGTCCCTTATATTGTATGCAGGCTGCCTTCCCTAAAGTGAGTGTAGCACTCACATCCTAAATCCCAGCCAGAATTATGTCAGACCAATCAGTGGCGTGATTTCTTAATCATAGAGCCTTATAGTTCCAGCATTATACCTTCTAGATTCAGCTACCTTTGAAGAAAACCCCATAACCATATAAGGCTTAGCAGAGATATCTATACACAAGTCTTATCAACAGCCATCTTTTATTTTCTTGGCCATTTGTCCTCACATTGCTCCTTCCACAAAGCTAGTCATCTTGTCATATACAGCCATTGTTAGAACATGGAAAGGCCACAAACCTTTCCAGTATAAGGAACCACGCACAGAAAATGGAGAATACTACTCCATACTTGTTAGAATACTACTAACCCAGAGATCGAAATTTCATTCTCAACATTGCCACCTCATTTTGTGACTAGAAAGTTATTCGTCTTTCTGAACTTTCATTTTTTTAATGGTTTAGTAGTACTTACTTCAGGAATTATGTGGTTTAAAGGTAAAAATGAAAGTTTATAAAGTGGACCGGGCATTTATTGTTTATGCTATGATTGAAAACTATGATGGATACATTTTTAAATGTATCTCAATAAAACCACATTGCAATTAATCCTCCTCAAAATACTCTCCCATGCTTCAAACATACTTATCTCATCAGTCGTGCCTCTTTCTGAAACAGTTTTGAAAGTTTCTCTCATGAGTATCTTTAATCACGCTGTTGCAGCTTCTTTGATGTCCTGAGTTGAATCAAAATATTTACCTTTCATGGTTATTTTGAGTTGGAGGAAGAATCAGAAGTCTCTTTTCTTAGAAGTTTGTCTTTGCATTATATTGCATTCAGCCCTATCATTCACAATTTTTAATCACAATTCAAAAAGACATTGATGAAAAACGGATTTCCAGAAATACTTCATAAAGTGGCAGAAAGGAGAGTATAAGTGTGTTTGAAGCTAGAGGTATTTTTAAGGGGAATTAAAGACATTTTTTATTTAAATATTTACCATATTGTTATGGTTGGTGTCTGAATATGCCCCTAAAGCCTCATGCAGTCATGGGGATAGGTTTCTAAACTTTGTGATCAATTCATTGTCCAATTCTGGGGTTATGAGTCTGAGTACTACACCCACCCTTGAGTGTGGCCTACATACAATATGAGGGGCAAAAAGAGTCTTTTCTGTACACTCTTCCCCTTTTCTCTTGTTGATTTTGCTGTTTTCCACCTCATGAGCTGTTACTCCTCTTCCATGTACCAATCTGCCTTAGAGTCAGCTGAGTATGGACCAAATTTCCACAATCTGTGAGCTAAATAAACCTTTCCTTCCTTAATCTGAGCATCAAGTATTTTGTCTCAACAACAAAAGTAATCAGAACAAAAGGTTTCAAGCATCTCTTCTATATTCAACAAGTTATCCATATCCTACTTGAATATTATTAGTAGCAAATTGCCTCAAACATCTATTAATGATAGGCCAATATGAATATACTCTTGGACTGGATATAGCTCAGTGGTAGAACACTTAGCATAAACAATGCTTTGGGTTTAATCATCAATACTGCAGATAGATATAGACACAGATATAGATATAGGTATAGGTATAGATATAGATATATACATAATATCTATGACAGGATAAATAAATATAGATGAAATAGATATAGATATACAGTATCTATGACAGGATAGACAGAGAGGACTAGAAAAGCCATGTAGCTGATGACCTATATTTTTAGACCAGCTATGTCACATAATTAAAGTTAATTGAAACAGACAGATGACATTAGCTAAGTACTTATTATCTTTATTTCAGGATTTTCAAAAGCAGCAGGTTTAAGAGCTGGCCATATTTGAAAGTTTCTAATATGTCACAGAACTGATGAAAGGTCTGTCACCACAGATTGGATGTGTTGATTTTGTTTCCCCAAAGGTATCCACATAGCAACTTGGCAGTACACAAGTATTCTAAAAATTCTACCAGTTTTTATAGAAAATAATAATTGTACCCTTACCTAAAATGTTAGATCTCATTTTCATTTTAAAGACTCATAATGCTTTTCCTAAGCTAATAAGTTTGTTCATTCCAAACCTGTCATTGTGAATTTGAAAGAAGGCCACAAAAAATTGGTATTTAACTAAAGTAGGTGCTTTTTCAGTTGATTTTACAAATGTGAATTTATTGATTAAAGGGATAAAACAGAATTGGGAAAACAAGGAAATGACTCTCAATTACACTATAATTGCAGCTCATTTTTCGATCTGTTTTTTACAGTTAATTTAAGGTCATGACCCAACCTGAGAAGCTCTTGTAGACAGTGGCCCCCATGCAGCCTCTGTCAGGAGCTCTGGTATACAGTGGTGCCCAATGAGTGCACTGAGTTAATCATTCGTCTTATTCACTATATTTGCATTTGACTACTTTATTCTCACATGAAAATGCTATCTTATAAAAACAGGTCTTGGTTCCAGTCCCAGTTTCCCAAAATTTCGGACAAATCACTCCATCTTTCTACATCAAGTTTCTCCATATCATGAAGACACTAGACCAGACACATGTACCAAGCTATATATCAAGGCATGCTCTGTGACAGAGTAGTGCCCCCAGAACTGTAGACCCTTGCAGAGACTAACAATGGTTTTTAAGAATGTCAGAATTACTAGGTTAAGCACTAGCACTCAGGAGGATGACTTCGAAGTAATAACATATATTTATTATCTCTGGAGTGTTTTGAGGGTTTAGATTTACGTTTTTAAATTATGCTACTTTAATTCTGTGTCACATACTCATTAGGATACAATTTAAGAGAGCAAATGTCTACAAAGGCTTGAAACTTCTTGGCATATTATCAATCATTATTTAGAATTTCTTCATGTTATTTTCTTAAGGTATTTTTCCAGGAACACAAGCTTTGTGTGATGTAATGAGAAAGAAATAAAGGAAGTTTAATCTGCGGCTCTTTCACCCTTATCCACTCAACACTTACCTCGTGACAAACCCGAAGCTCTTAATGAATTCCGAGGTTACCGTAGAACTCGGAAACTCTTAGATTCTTACAATATGATCATAGAGGTTCATATTTTGCTAAGCTGTATGCAAGTGGCTACAGGGTACATTTATTTTATCTTCATGTCATCTGGGTTCCTTTTTAATGAATGTTTCTTTAATGATCACATAAAGTACTCTACTGGTCACTTCCCACCCAAATAACTATTACACAAGTGACCATGCAGCAACCTATGTGTTGCCTCAAACCCACGTCAGAGAAAGTTTTCTGGTTTATATAATCCACTATGCAGCAGCTAGTACACACTGTAAAAAGTATAAGCCTTTACATTGTGTGTGTATGGTGGTGGGCTGGGGTGAGACTGGGTTTGTTTCATACTGCACAGAAGTACACCTCTTTTCTCCCCTTGAAATATATGGGATAAGTGAGATTCTCAATACACACAGAGCTCTCTGCAGACACAATGAATGGCAGAGATCCGACTCACACCCACGTACTTCCCTTAGTGACAGAACTGTGCTAAAGACCAGAAGTTGTCCATGGCTGTGCTGAATACATACTTCTGGATTCCTATGGTATTTGGCTTTGTTAGATTATATGTTAGACTAAATATGATTTTACAAGCCTTAATCTTCCTACCTTAAAGCTAGGGTGTGTCACAGGGGTAATCCTGCCTTGCTACTGTCCCTTCGCCAGCCTGAGACAGTCTTCTCCAGCCGAGCCCAGCTCGCACCGGATCACTGTGGAGCGGAACCAATTTTTAAATGTCTTCATCTGGTCCCTCCTACTTTCATGGTTGCTCTGGGGGTGGTGAGAATCGGGACACACTGAAAGCTGCTGGGACATCTGACTCTTTATTTTCTTGGCTCTGTGTGGTTTAACTCTGCACCAGTCCTCCCGCCTGTGCAGAAATTTACTTTTTAGTGCAGACACAAAAGGAGATCCGGAAAAAGGGGCAGGAACCTTCACTGCTGGCTAGTAAAAAGGGAGAAGAGGAATACTACAACTGCCACCTTGATGAGCTGCCACACCCATCGGTGACCCCTCTTCCCTGGCCCCTGACCTGGATCTCTCTTCCCACAGCATGATGATGGCGGTGAATGATCCCAAGAGGAAACTGATGCTAAGTGCCCTTCTATTTTCAGAAAATACTTCCTAGTGCTCGCTCCTGAATGCCTTTGGATTTTGTGGATCAGTGCCACGGTTTCTAGGGGAAGGGTGTATGGAGAGAGATAATGATCTCGAACATGTGGAAACCAGCTATATGATTTGGCCTGCCCTTTGCTGCCTGGAGCACAGCAACAAGGCACACGCTGAAAATCACAGGACAGATCTAGTTTCAGATAAGACTTCCCTGCCAGCATCCTGCAACATAATGGATTGCAATGTGTGGTGAGCACCCACTTTATGGAGGTATCTGAGCAAGTTCTGCATGGTCACTTGCCTCAGGAATTATTCAAAGGAGTCCACTGTTGAAAGAAATGGGATATTAAGGAAGGCTGGCCCTCCCTTCCTCCTCCCCAGCCCAGCCTGTGCCCATGAAGCACAAAACAGCTCCCCCATCCCACAGCTCTGTGGGTGAGTTGTCTTCCAGTTGTCTTAAAGCTGGCATCTGGGTGCCATAATTTAATAGAAAGTTCTGTCATCGCATCTTGAGAAAGACAGGGCCATAGCCCGCTTTCTTCTTTCGCTTTGTACCAACTCAAAGCCTGTCTTTCCCCCACTTTTCTCTCAGAACTTTGCTTCCTTGGTCAGAGAGCCAAAGCCTACTCCCCTTCTTGTCCTGACACAGAAGCAGTCAGACCTCACAGCGACAGAAGCTGGGAGCAGCCACCAGTGGAGGGAACCTCTCCCCTGGCTGCCTTTCTGCTGACCCTGGCCACAGATAAGCACAGCAGATTGGCTTTTTCCCTGTTGCAGAGATGAGTTCCTTTGGCCCCAAGAGGCCTCATCTGGTTTCCAGGCTTAAACTGTGTTCTCAAAGCTCTCCTTTAACAAAGCCAAAATACAGTAGTATTTCCATTAATCCACTCACTAACTAAGTTGGTTCTTCATTTACCACTCAGCCATTATTCGTCATACAATCAAACCCAAAACAAAAACCCAACAGTTTCTCTCAGGTATAGTGCTGTACTTACACAGAGTGATCTAAATGACCCAGGAAATGTCTCTACCATCGCTAAATAGAAACAGAATTATACATAACCTGCAAGAAAGAATTGAAGAATTTTCCTATGAAATGGTGAGGTACAATACATAGAAATTTGAGAATCATCATACAATTTATGACGCCTCCTTGAACCCTAAGTTTCTATGACTCAGTACTGTGTGATATTTTCTGTTTAGCCTTTCTTAACTCAATTTTCATCTATTGAGTTTGCAAATTAAAATTTCTGCAGATTCATGTGCTATTCCAGAATAGATATCATCTCTTGGTACCTTTACCTACCTAATCAATTGAGAGGAATCCTTTGCAGAAAGGGTAAGTTCTAATTAATCCCTTGGAACAAATCATCAGCATACCAACCATACTAACTTTGGTAAATACTGCACCCTGCAGTTACTAGGTGTTACCAATAAATAATAAACAATCACTATTTGTACATTTCACCAAAAGTTCTTCCTTGCCTTAAAAGAAACCATTCTATAAAATTCTGTGTCTCAATCTCTTTTTTATTTCTGGTGTTTCTGATACCAGCATAATCAGGAAACAATGAAAATGCTCCCTGAAAAACCAGTTCTCACTAAGCTCTGCAAACCAATGAGAATGGAGATTAACTCAAATAAACTCTGGAATGCCAGCCAAACCCTGAAACTTGTCAGCAGTTCACCCGCTGAGAGTGGTTATGATTTTCCAGTAGTACCTTGTCCTGAAATAACCTGAAGAAAGCCAGTGTCAGATGACACGTGACATCAAGGGTTCCATGCAGATCCTCCTGGCAGAATATTCCATCAGACTTTACACGCTCTGAAGCTGCCACAGTTGCTGGTCTGAAACAGTGCCTCGTCATCTTCTGCAAAACATACAACTTCATTCTTCCAGGAAGGACCTCCCTTTGGCATTCATGGACTTGATTTTAGGTTGGAAAATGAGAAATCTCTTTAAAAAATACAAAAATAAAACACCTTTTTTATTTTCAAGAATAGTTCTGATATGAACTTCACTTATGCAGGATAACAATTTTATACTTTATTTTGTTTCTGAAGATACACAGAAGTGTCTCTATTTCATCCAAAATTGAAAATGAATGATTTTAAGCTAATTGACTTTGCTTTTTCCCCAAAAAAATGTTAAATTCAGTATGGTATCTCATTTGAGGTTTCAGATATGGTATTTTATAGCACCTTGATTTATAACCCTGTATACAGAAAAGTTATGTCAGCGTTTACATTAGGAAGCTATGTTTTTGTGTGTTTATAACTAAGCCATAAAATTATTCTGGCTGAAATTTGGAATGCCAAGTTTCTACCTTGAAACACAAGTTTGTCCCCAGACGTACACCACATGTGTCACACACATTCACACATTCACACATATACACCAGAATTTAACAATTACTGTCTTGCATTCACTCAATGTATTGCCTTGATGAAAATTAGTTGAAAGAAACTCAAGGTTATATAGCAAAATCAAACATAGCTGTCATCCACTGGTAGTGACTTATATCCTAACATCTATTTTAGCAGATTGGAAAGTTAATGACAAAAGAATTGATTGTATAGTTTTCACAGTTAAGATGAAAGGACGTAAAGATGAATTAAGACTTCCACAGCACAAGTTGCTTTTCCTTACCTGAAAATGTTTACAACTTTCCTCCACACTGTTAATATTCTCTGAATTTCAAACATGTGATCTAATGTCCCCAAACATATTTATTACAAGTGATCATCTACATAGCAACAGACAGGGAAGTGCTAATAAACCAGACCTGGGAATAAATCTGGTAATTCATTAAGCAAACCTACTTCTATGTCATGCAGGTTTGTGCACCATTGCCTGCCTATAAAAGGGAAATAGAATTTCTGATAAACAAGTTACTTCCTCAGACTTGTAAAGCTGTTGCCTTCAGTTCACATCTCAACAGTTTATTTTGTATCTTTTCACACTCAAAATGCTAAAACACACCAGTATAAAATTTTCACATTTTAAAAAAAATTAATTTTGTAAACTGAACTAGTTCAGAGATAACAATGTGCAATATATTAACTAGTATTAATTCCCTACTTTTTTCTTTGCTCTTTTGAAATTCTGTATCATTTCAATACTTTTTTTCCTGTTTTGATTTTTAAAATAAAAAAATATATTTTTATTTACCATGACCATGAAATCTGATAGCAAGTGAAAAAAAGAATTATTTTCTCACAGTGAAAAAATATTGAAAATTAGAAGGGAGAAGAAAAATTTGAGTTACCTGAAACACTAAAGTCTAATCTTATGAAAGAGATAATGCAATTGGTGTGAAAAATCCCTTAGTTACTATTAATACTACTATATAGAATCTATACATCCCAACAGGATTCAAGAAAAGTTGTTTTATTGCACTGTAGTTTGTAGTGTATAAAACTGTTTGAACTGGGGGCTGGGGATTTAGCTCAGCGGCATAAGCGCCTGACTTGCAAGCAGGCAGTTGTGAGTTCGATCCCTGGTACCGATAAAAAGGAAAAAGACAAAAAAAAAAAAAAAAAAAAAACTGTTTGAACTGGTGACAAAACATACCTGATTGGGCTTCCTGACACCTAGATCTAACTAGCAAGCACTTACTAGCTGCATAACCTTGGACTACTCAATCTCTAAGTGTCTTAGCTTCCTCATTTGGAAAGCAGAGAAATAGAATCTCCCTCATAAAGCAGTTTTAGAGTTTTGATGAGTTAATTAAAAGCATATCCTCTCAATGCCTGGTACATGATAAGTGCTTACAAAGATTAACAATTGGTAAGTGACCAAGCTCAGAATGAAATTCTACAGGAAGTAGCAATGTTGTTTAGTGCATCAAAATTATGTATTACCCTTCAGTTGTGGCTCTTTACAGTCAAGAAATTCTAACAAGAAGAAAATCTACTGCTTCAGAGAAAATGGGGAAGAACAGTATTGGCTTACTTGTTATTTACCTAATAAAATAAAACCTCTTGAAGAGATACCAAGTTATGAAATATTTAAATCCTTGATTGGCTCTAAGGGGGAAAATATGTGAAACCACATTTGTTACATGGTGGTTTGTTTTGTTTTTATTTATTGTTTATTGTGGTTACTAGGGACCCAAAACTTTCACACTGATCTCCATCCCTGATCTTTTAAAATTTTGAGACAAGTTCTTGCCAAGATGCTCAAGTAGGAGTCAGACCTGAGATCCTCATGCCTCAGTTTCCCAAAGTGCTAGGACTATACACATGGGGCACCACACCTATCTATAAGGTGCATTTTTATATGAAGATAAAGAGTGATAAATCTGTCTCAGTGTCTGAATCTTGGCTAAAGGTATGTATGAAACAGAAGCCTTAGGTGTTCTCTAAAAGGAAAAGCTTGTTTTATTATTGGGAAGGGGAGAAAGAGTAAAGTTACATGATCATCAAAAGAAGCTTTCTTGCATCTCTATATCATCTTGATTACATCAGAAAGCATCTTTCTCTTTTCTGGGCATGAAGAAGATAGAAATTTAGGACTTTATAATTTAGTAAGAGAGAATTCAGGATAAGTCCAGGGACATCCAACCTTGAAGCAGCTAGAGACAGAAGAGTTTAGTTCTCTCTTTATTACTGTGATTCGATCTGATTTTGATTAACTCAAAAACATATGGCAAAACCCAAAGACAAGACACAAAGTAATTTGATTAAGATGCTCATTGCTGGGGGAAAAAAAATAGTACTTTTCAGAGTACCTGAAGATATATGTGGATTAATTATCTCCTTCAGAGTAGCAGGAACAGAGCTTCTAGACACAGAAAGACAAGTTTTACCATGCTTTGTCTTCCCATATTTTTCTGTCAATCCAGAATCTAGTTTCTAGGGTTCTGTCAATAACCACCAGCAGAGAAATTTCGTATACCCATGTCACACAAAGAGAACTCCCAGGGAAGACACCCTGGGTGGATGTATTTATCAACAATCTTAAGACAAAGTGAAGAAAGAAACAGTCTTACTGCTGCAAGAGAAGTTCCCCTCCCTGCTTGAGCTGCATTCCCTCCACCACCAAAACTGAGTCCAGGTGCACGAAGCTGTTTGAACGTATCCTTTCGTTCATTATCTGTGCTGAATATGCAGCAGCAAAAGAGGGGAACTTTAGTGACTTTCTTTACAATTTCCAAGCTTGTTCGTCATTAAAGCTATGATTGCCTTCCTCCACCTCTTACTCAATTTCACTGCACATTGTAGGGGTTGTGTAATCCTCGCTCCCTCTATACGTGTTATTAGAAAATAGGAAAATTGCAATTAAAGTGTTTAGTTTCTTTTGGAGGCCAGGGTACAGCAATGAAATAAATTCTACCCCAGGAGACCAGTTAGAACACCTCACTGCATTTCTTTAAATATCAGACACACTATCCCTAATTCCTTATAAGGAGAACAGTGTGTCAATCTCCCATTTTACTTTCTCCATTTGATCTGATGTCTGCGTGAGTAAGCTTCTATCTTTTGTTGATCATTTGTCAGTGTATTAATTAAGCCTGTTTTGTAGATAATGCCTCACCAGGTGAATTTGAATTCATCATCGGCTCCCTTAACTGGTCATCTAAGGAGAAGGTAGACTTCCTAGAAATTTGGTTTTACAGCAAGTAGTCAGGGACCAGTGTGAGGATCAACTGGATGTACGGCTTTTACATATGAAGGAGAAAGTCTCAGGCCTCATCCCAAACCTACTGAATCAGATTGTGCATTTTAACAAGGTCTAACATGATTTATGTGCACATTAAGGCACCAGGTAAAATAGGAGCTCTGTTGTAATTCTGGAGGTTTCTCCATGCTGGTTTCAACAACAAATCAAGATCATTGTAGTGAAGCTTAACAAGAAAATATTTTAAAGAAATTTCAGGCCTACAATATGTGTTAATTAATTTTGAAGAAGTCATAATGATTTTGTTAGCCATGATGTATAAATTCCATGGAATATGTAAACTCAGAATTTTATGCATTTGCTTACAAATAAAGTATACTTCGTTTTGAGCACTGCTAACAGCAAGTGGAAATATGCAGCTATGTCTTAATAGAGCATCTTTTTACAAAGCCCTGCCATGAAAATTATTGTTATACATTAAATATTGATAATAGCTAAAGTCAATACTATTTATGCTGCAAATTAACTAGTAAATGGAAGCTTTCAGATTATTTTATAAGGAGTTAATGTATTTATAAAGCAGAGTGTGGTTTTAGTCTTATTTTTCAAATGCTCATTTTTCATTTATCCAAAATGTGCTAGCATTGTTAACGTCAGGGAGGAATTATAAGGACCCATGGAGAGAAAAGTCATCCCCCATGCTACAGGAAGGAAGACTGAAGATTTACAGTAAAGGCGCTGTCAGCTTGACTGTGATAGGCACTATGGAAGCAAGGAAAGACTAGGAGACCAGAAAAGAGCTCCTAGAGAAGTGGTCTGTGATGTTAGCCAGGTAGCCAAAAGAGCCTTATGAAGAAAGCATCCTTTTATCAAAGACCTTAAGGAAGTGACACTTACCAAGTCATTTGTACTCCCAGTCAAATCCTATAGGTGGCTATAAAGTGTAAACATTCATCAGGTGGAGAATTTGTGGATTACAGAGAAATCATCTGCATTTATTTACAATGATAGTACCAGATGCAAATGAAGATCGAGACAAACCATGTCACAGCCAGGAAATAGCCTCACAAGAGGTTCCTGCTGCTAGGAAAACAGCTTTATCAATCACTGCAAGTAGAAAATAGCTAATATCTATCCAGGACCTACACATGTCAGCCACTATATTTGTTAGTTAAGACTACCTTGTTAACATTAAATACACCAGTAGGTAAGATTTTACTGTTTTACAATCAAAGAAACCAACTGAGAGACTGACCATTGTCTTGCCCCAAGTAATACCACCTCCTTAGTCAAAACCAGAATTTAAATGAACCCTTGCTCTCTGTCCCCAATGT